CACCACCACCACCACCACCACCACCACCACCCAAAGACTCTGGATTTACAGCCTTCCTCAACCCGCGCGGCCTGTTGACCTTCCCGCCATCCACCCTTGGTCTCCTCTCCCTCCTCTACCCGAAACCAGACCTCCTCATCCTCGGCACGGGGCGCAGACTGTGGATGCTCTCGCGCGAGACGAGGAAGTTCCTCTCCGAGGACCTGGGCATCAAGGTCGACGTCATGGACACCGCCAACGCCGCCGCCGCGTATAACCTGCTCGTCATGGAGCGGGGGGTCGAGGAAGTCGGGTCGATTTTGATTCCCGAGGGTTGGGCTGGTCGATAGGTAGGTAGGCAACTAGCGGAGGAGATGCCCGAGGGTTATCAAACTGGCAAGGAGAGAGTATCCTGGCGTGTCTGGCCTGTCCTGGGGTAACAGTGCAGTGTAAGAGGCACACAGGGAACTGCTACCAGAGACGCTGTCAAGCTACCTACCTTGCTACCTAGGTAACCATTGTAAAAACACAATCGCAATCGCAATCGCAACGTCGTTACCAAATATTCGTTCTCCTTGCCTTATGCTTGCCATGTGCAGAGGAACTAGTGCGAACATCTGCGTGGTCGTGTATGGATATGCGTCTCCATATTTCTGTGTGGGCAGGCACGCACCACACCAAATGACAACCACTATCTTGTTTCCGGTGCCTTAACCGGTGCGTCTGTGTGTCCGAGTATATAGGACACAGCTCCGTCCTGATCAGGAAATCGGGGATACATTATGCTTGTCTAGTACGTACAAGTACAAAGTCTCTATCTACCTACTACCTACCCAGGTAGATACCTACCGAGACAACTAGTATGGCTCTCATTTCCCCAACACAACTACTACGTACATACCCTGTCTTGCCTTGCTTTGGGGGAATCTCGACCAGGTCGCTCAACACACCATAAACGCTCGTGACACTTGACCTCGTCGTGGGTTTTCGCAGCCGTGCGACGATGGAGCTGGTTCGGCCTTGTGGTCCCATCTTACCCTCTAAGAGACACTGCTGCCGATGACTGGCCATAGTGCCAAATGTTCCCGAAGCTGATGGCCTGAATCACCTCCGAGTACACTTTGCCCCGCGACACCGCCATCTCGCTTTCCCACAGTTGTAGCAGAATTCCGTCCCGCACCGACAAGTCATATGGAGACATCCCGAGATCCGCTCCACCATGGTCTTGCAATGCGGACACCGCATCCACTTCCGGGTCTCGCTCAAGCTCAGTAGCGCTTGGCCCGCGGTGTCTTGCTCGCAAATATTTCCTGCGTGCGCCTTCTTCTTGCACAGTCGACAGGTCACGCTCGAGCAGCGGGGGCACAGAGCCGTCTCGCCGACATAGTTGGCCGAAGGGATGAAAGCCGAGCATCTCCTGCTGTGGCAGTATGTCGGGTTGGGGGTGGAAAGCTCCTCAAGTACGGCTTTGTACGCGCTCTGGACTTCTGCTGGAAGCCATCGAGAAACGACATCTGGCTCGACCTGCACGCTGCAACATCGGAAGGCCTTCTTGTCCTTTACTGCCATCTGAATGGCTGTCTCCAGACAGGTTTGACAGTAACGGTGCTTGCATCCTAACCGGCACGTTTGCTTCCTGGGGACGGGCTCGGTACAGGCGGTGCACTCAACCGGCCTGGCCGCACGCGTCCTCGTTTGCTCCTCTTGTCCTTTTTGGCCTGCACGGCGTTGCTGCCATTCCTTGCGGTGGGGACGCCCCAGCCCTGCAGATGCTCGTTGTTCCGTGGCACCAGCTTCTTTAGCATGGCGCGCAGAACTTTCGTTCTTCCGAGGGTCGTGTTTCCATGCATCCTGCACATCTTCTGTCACACTCAGACCGATAGAGATAGCGTCTCGGTCTGCTGTTGACGACCTTTGCCTTTCTCGCTTCTCACGCGCACTTTCAACACCACCAGAGCTTCTGATTGTGCCTATCCCTTTTACTGGGTTAGCATCTCGAGGTGGCGAAGATCGAATACTGTTTGGCTCGTTTGGTACCAGGATATTCTGATGCGGATGAGAGATACCAGCCGAGACCGGGACTGCCGATTGGTTTGTCGCAAGACCCAGTGCTCTTTTGAGCCATTGGAAAGGGCTTGTCCCCGTCCTGCGGCGCCGTGGCAGTAATGGGCCCAATGACCATTGGCTCCCCGAACCCATCAACTCGTCTGTCCAGGTCGATTGGTGTCCATACCCTTCTGGCGACGCTCGCACCTCGTTCTCGATCTCGAATAAAGCTCGAGCAAGCTTCGCGTCCTCGTCTAATTGACGAGCGTCTTCTGCCTGTATTTTGGCATGCATATGTCTCTGGCTTTCGTGTATCACCCTGTTTCCTTCCCTTTCTCTCTGTGCTGCAAATGATTGTGCCATCTCTGGCTCTTGGTGGATAACGAGGTCGTCTTCCCTGTTCCATGCGTCTTGTAACCTGCGGATAGGCTCAAACAAGGCTTCCAGCTCTTCTTGTTCTCGCCGGATGATATCATCTTGAGCAGCCTGTGTTCGGCTTCCTTCCTCCGACGATCGATTTGGCTCTGCCACGAGAAGTTCGTGATAGTCTTGTGGGGCGTCCCCAGCAAGCTCCATGGCACACCTGCGATCATATTCAGACTGCCTCTGCCGTTCCCATCCTGAGTGATCCATAGGCATCATCGACCTTGTATAACGTGTACCAATTGAGACAACATCGCCATCATTCGCAGGTCCCTTCCACCCTCTTGATCCCGACTCCTCGTACTCTTGCAGCAACCGCTCAATCCTGTTTCCAGACAGTGGTGCTTGACATCGGTTCCGAGTTGGAGGCAGCTGGCCGAGGGGAGATCCAGAACCATGTGAGCCAAGCGACGTTGCGGTACTTGTACTTCCATTGAGTGAGTGCCCTGTGTTGAACGATGGCGACAGCTCACCGGCATAGGCATCTACCAGTGCGCCACACGCCGCGACTCTTGTAATCGGATTGCTTGGTTCGGTACGCAAGGGTGGGAGTGATCCGTCGAGGTTGTGATATGTAGCCGACTCATTATAGAGTGGAGGGTCGAGGTACTGAGGAGCGTTGCAGAATGGTCTGTATGTATTTTTGGCTCCAAGACGCTGGCATCCTGCCAAAGTAGGACCAGTGTCGTGTCTATGGTATGAGGGACCCGGTGTCCCGGGACAGTTAGGTATAGCCCATTGACCTAGGGTTGGATCCATTGCAGGGACATAGCCGTCCAGGTAGTGAACAGAAGGAAGATTGCCGCCCGAGGGCAAGACTTTCATTGTCTGCCTGTCTTCCGTGCAAGGCTCCATCCAAGAACTATTTGCTTTGAACCCATGAAACGTTCTGACTTATTGTCGTCATGTGTTATGTTGGGAACAGCCTATCGAGTGCGTCCCAAGTCAGAGGGTTTATGGTCGTATTTTCCAATGTGAATGCACGTTAAAGCAGTCGTATATTGATCGATTTGGTTTCCTCTTCCCTTGCCTTTTCCGAGGCACGGTTAGTTGATGTTTTCTAGACAAGTATTGTTCAGAATCGACTAACAGGAGGCTAACTAAAGAGGATCATTAGGACAGTCATATGCGATAACCGGGATCAGAGTTTGAGGGGTTAGGCACTGGTTGACAAGACAATCTGTGGTGCGGTCGAGCTTAACCCAAGGCGCAGCCACCCCAGAGCCACTTTCATGGCATTGTGGGGTAAAAGGACATCTGCTTAACGGCAAAGGATAGGACAGTTAGACCAGGCAGGCAGATTTGGGAGAGATAGAAGTCTGGGCACGGGTTTGAGGCTGTGCAGTTGTAGGCACACCGCGAGGAAGAGTATCGGTCTGGCGTTGCGGGTTTTACCTGGCCGAGGCTGTCAGGCTTGTGAAGACATGTCCGTAGGAGATGGATATCGTCCAACAAGAACCTGTCTGATCAGTCCACTCCATGTCGTAGTAAGTTGGGATTACGCCTTGTGTTTTCTGCCTCTTCTTCCTCTCAACAAGGCGCGAGCCGCTGCAGTCTCGGTACGACATGTCTGCATGAGGCGACCAGTAATTTTCGATGCAGAGGGTCGATTGATGCCGCTTTCAGTCTAGCTGCTGCCGTCCAGAACTTGGCTGGCTGGTGAGGAAGTCCCATTATTAGCATGACAAACAGAATATACCAGGCAATAGGATCATCTTCCGGCTGTCGGGACTTGCAAGTAGCGCCTTGGTTCAGCTGGAGGCATTGCACATTGGTGCTATTCGTAGAGAACCGGTCAAGTAGATGCAGAACTGGAATCTACCAAACTCATAGTCAGCCAACAAACGGGAGTCCCAGTCAGTCCTCTCAAAGTCTTTCAGGAAGGCTCTCCGCCTTGGTGGGACATATACAATACGTGACACATGTCTCAAATGTCCGAAACAAAGGGCCATTGACACCCAGTTCCTTGGTCTGGGACGTCTTGTGGGGGTTCTACCATATAAAACACAGCGATCGACGACATATCGACAGTCATTGCCCAAGCCGCCTAGTAGTCAAATGATCACGATGGAGTGGTGGAGGTCCAGTAAAGCGTGCGCCAGTCTCGGCATTACACCTAGGCAACCCGTTCGTTCATGCTTCCGAGCACTTGTGTTGAGAACACGACGAAACTAAGATCTTGTGGAGAAAGGAGTTCTCAAAATCACCAGTAGACGAGATTTTTAAGTCTATCCACCTCATGAACTCCAAGCACTACGGCCCATGCAGTTTCGTCTGGTCGATGGACGCACGTCGAGTGTACAGGGTTCGCGGATTTGCACCAGGCTGGCAGCCACAGTGATTATGGTAAGTCCGAGAGGTCAGAAAGGGAGCGCAAAACAGGTGTCCCACTAGGCGTGGTTGCTGATGGTCGATAAGCGTCCAAATTGCTCTGCTGTGTCCTTTGGCAGTTTGAACCGGTCGTTTGGATGCTGGCAAGCTTTAGCAATGCCCGTTTGTCGTCGGTTGGCTAGGAACTTCCATTCCTAGCGCACACGAGTAGTCAATGATGGAAAGAAGCTTGGATGATGGAGAGGAAGAATGGAAGTCGGGGGATGGTGGATGAAGAATGGAGGATCGACTTGTAAGCAACGGAAGAACAAGTGATTAGCGCATGTTTGACATTTCTTCAGATTTAGGCACAACACTGGCAGTCAGTCCCAATCCCCCTCACCACCCTCCTCCTTCCTTGTCTACATCATCGGCAACAACATCACGATAAATCTAATAGTCGCCTTCTCGTTCCCATTCAATTCCCCTGACTTGATATCTCGGCAAGCTTGCCATCCATCGTTCTCGCATGTGCCCACAATCCATCTCCACAACCTGCGGGCTTTCTTTCCGCCCCAAAAGCCCACACGAGCACAATACTATTGTGATCAGAGTGCCAAAGTCGAATTCCCCAGCTTCCGTCCGCAATCCTCGCGATCACATTCAACCCTGCCAAAACATCCCTGTCGACACCATTCAAAGATCTCCAGGACACCTCGCCTCCCCCACCCACAATCGCCGCAAAATCCGCTCTTGCTTCAGCCCACTGATCATCTTCGCGCGAATACAGGTTCTCTCTCGATGATGTTGACTCCAGGATAGTACTCTGATGGTCTGTCAATCCACGGTGGACTCAACCCACGTCGTCCGCTGCGTGGCCCCAGAAACACCGGTCTCGGGCGAGTTGGAAAGGAGCTGAACGTGGTGACCTCTTCCCAAGGTAATCCAGTCGGCAGATGACGTGATGGTATCCTTCTCGTCGGCCGTCGTTCGATATAGTCGTCGTCGTTGCCACACGGTGGGCAGCAGAAGAAGACAAGAAAGACGAGGATGCAGCCGACAACTGTTATTGGTACCCAAATCTTGGTGCTGTCGCCCATTTCGCTGGCAGGGTCACAATTGGCTATCGGAAAGATCGTTCGTGCGCCCTAGGTAGGATGTTGCTCTGATGACTCTGCGCCAGCACGATGGTCGATGTTTGGCTCGGTAGGAACAAGTGTAGAGGATGCTGATGAATAAGGAGCAGCTCACTACCTGCAATCTATCCATACATCCAGACTTAACTTTTAATATTGTGCAAACGAACTGGATCAAGCTGCCAACCTGTTTGTACCTGTCAAACAGCCATGGAAACCACCCGAAAGGAAGACGCATACCTCCAGCTTGCCTTGTTTGACTAGTTCTTGGAGTGCTCCAGCTCCGAGCTCACGCCTGCCTCCAATTCTTCCTGCAACAGGAATTGTCGCTGAGCATCTTCTCCCTGGCCAGGAACCCCTCGCCAGGAATACCGGAGTCTGTTGACGAAGACACAAACCTTCAAGGTGCTAATGATCGTCTGAAAACAAACACGAACTTCCCACTCACTCCCAAGGACTCTTCCACGCAAACAATACCCAAGGCAGCAGCCCCTTGTGCTATGGACAGTCCTCCACGACTTCGATGCTCTGAAAATGCCTAGGAAGTGCTGTACGATATTTCTGGTACGGAACTTTCTGTAGGCCATGTGTTCGTCGTCGCTTAGCTCTCAATATTGGTGGCCCTGGGATCTGTTGGCAAGAATCAGCCCACAACCATATTCCACCACCCCAGTGAGCGTGGAAGGACTAGATAATCATCGCGCGTCTCTCGCTGAGTATAGACGTACCTGTTTACTGGTGTCATTCCCCAATAAGTGGAAACCCCAAGGATCCAGACAATAAAAAGGCCGGACTCATTGCCCCGTCTGGAGTCAAGAACATCAGTCGCACTAGTCCAGCAGATGAATGGGCGTCTGCAATCCGGACGCCTCATCACGTCGGGAAGGTATCACAAACAACCATTTCGATATTGAGCCTCGTTCTCTGTGCCACCAACAAATCTGTTTCCGAAGACCCTGGGTTCTGGTTGATACATCATCAATCCACTATACAATTTAAACCAGCGAGGACATGTACGCACTTCGTGGTTGGTCATCCCTCACGATCTCTTGGCCCAGGTTATAGGTATATAAGTTCCCACCACACGATTTGCAACAACCCTGAGTTGTAACACTTATCTAACACGGTATTGCAACGCAACACGTCTCAATTGCTCAAATACCACTATGTAAGAGAAGCCCGCGGAGGCTGTTAGCTAGGTCGACAGAAGGAATAAACCAAGGCTAGGTAGCTATGGCCCCTATACACAGAGACTCGAAGCCTCTTCCTACTTATCCGCCCATCGGGGCGTGCGTAGTCCTTGGCTAGTTTACCCTGTTTGGAGGCCATGGCATATTAACTAAAGACTTCTGATTAAAACTGGATGAGGGGCTGTCAGCCAAATTAGCCACCAAACGAAAGTGGCTTTTTGTAGCTTCGGCAGCGACAGCTGGCTGAGGCTGAAAGAATACACCAAGTGATACCCCACAATCCGCACTGCTTAGGTCAGGCGGTTCAGGATGCATTTCAATGTACAGACTAACTGTGTGCACACAGACATCAGACTACTACGCCAAATAAACCTTACACGAGATCGGAATGACAACCAACAACTCCAATATAGCGCTTCTGATCGACGGAGACAATGTCTCTCCCAAAATCATCACTGGCCTCATGGCTGAAATCGCCAACTACGGCACTGCCAGCGTGAGACGGATTTATGGCGACTGGACCAGTCCTTCCTTGAAGAGCTGGAAAGGTTGCCTGCTGAATAACTCGATAACGCCAATGCAACAATTTGCGTATACAAGCGGAAAGAACTCTACTGACGGCGCTATGATAATCGACGCTATGGACCTCCTATATACGGGCCGCTTCTCTGCCTTCTGTATCGTTTCAAGCGACAGCGACTTCACGCGCCTTGCAGCCCGCATCCGCGAGCAGGGCGTGACGGTCTATGGCTTTGGAGAGCGCAAGACCAATACTGCCTTTATTGCTGCCTGCCACGAATTTATGTACTTTGATGCCCTCAACGTCGAGCTCGAGGAGTCGCTTGCTGCACCTAAATCACCTCGGGAAGCCATGGCTCCGGTTCTTGTTCGTACACAGCAAACTACGAGACCTCTAGATCAGGCGGCACTCAAGGGGTTGGCATTGGCGGTGACCAATGCACCAATCTACACCGACAATTGGGTCAACCTAGCGACGTCGGCAGCTATCTGAGCAAAATCTCACCTGATTTGCGTGCACGCAATTACGGCTATGAGCGTCTTCGAGACTTACTGGAAGCGTCTGGAATCGTGGAATGGAAGTGGAAGACCATGGGCGATAAGCCTCCAATTGTTCTCGTCCGCCTCAAATGAATCGCCACAACTCTATAGATGTACCTCGTACTGCACTAAGTGGCGCCGTGGGAGAGGAGAAGACTATACTACCATCCCGTTGTTGGGGTGGTCGCCGCGTGGTGTGACTCCAGAAAAGATTGCACAATTTCAGCGTGGACAACGCTACCTGATTTTACCTACGTACAGGACCTTGTACGGTGCTCTTCTCATTCCTGTAATAGCCCCTGGTCTCCCGCGGCCTCATGAGGCTGTCCGTAACACACAGCTTACGGCGCATACGTTCGTCCCAATGGGTTGACGCGGCATAGTTCTTCCGGCCAGCAGCGCGGCCTCACAGCCTTACCAAAATCGTGGAAAGCTGGCGCATTTCAGAGCGATGCCAAACATTCAAGTTTGGCACCCTGCCGAGGGGTGAGTAGGTATTTATGTTCACTACCGAGTAACTTGTAAGATTTGAGGCCGGCGGTTTCCTTTCGTATGTAACAGAAACGAGACTAGTGTCGCGTACTTAATAGCTCTAATCTATTACCTGGGAAACTTCAAGTATCATCGCTTTGAGCTGTCAGGATCTTCCCCAGCTCCCAAGTTGTTCGATCGGAGACAATCTAAAAAGCGGCGTTCCAATAGTTGCGATCATCCTCGGAATCCTCAAGTATCCCAAGAGCCTCCTTCAACTCCTGGGTCCATTGGGAAACCGGCTTGATCCCTCGTCTAAGCTCCTTATAGGACGATCTGAGGGGCTCCGGAAGCAAGTTTGCGTCCAAAAGCCCATTATCATCGACATACTCCTCCATGTATCCAATCATTGCCATCGCAAAGGCACCTATGCGCTTCCCTGAATCGCGCGCGTACAGACGCAGAAAGGCTTCCAGCAAGATATGAGACTTGGGGACGACCACTGGATCACTGTCCGACTTAAAGACGCCCGATCCCCGACCCGGCCGCCAGGGTGGGAGAACAGTCTGGTCGGACGCAAGGACGAAATGCGAGGGAAGCATAAATTTGTTCGGAGACAATAGAGAGCTGTCAAGTGGTGGCAGGAACCAAAGAGTCTCGGATTGCGGATAGAGGGCCACGGTAACCTCTGAATCTTTGATGTGGATATGAAATGCCGGTGGCGGCGTGTACCGCTCATGCGAGCTTGAGGGGCACATTTCCCAGTCTGGACATGGCTCGAGGCCCTTGAATCGAGAAATAGTCTTCATGCTAACCCGCAAACGGTCGTCCGGAATGACAAAGTCAATCGACTTGTAGAGCATTAGCTCAGAGCCTGGAATGTTTCTTGATCGAGGATACGTACGTTAATGATTGATGGCACTCCATGGACATTAAGAAGGATAGTGGCCCCAGAGGACACAGGGAACTTGGTCCGAGCCGAGAGCCCGAGCAATGGATGCCACGAACGATTCTGAAAGATCCGACATGCTTTTCCTCTTTTCCCCGGCTTTTTCCAAGGGGTCGATGGCTTGGGCGTTTGCTGACTTGTCTACGGATAGCGAGATAGCGAATGTTCTGGAAAGTATGGCTTATGGTGATTGCCTTGGCTCCCTCTGGTTGCTCGAGGCTCTCCCGTCCTCGGCTGGGCGTTCCCGATGCACCGTCACGTGCCTGATTAAAGCGGCATCGCTCTGTTTCCTGAACGAGACCGGCAATGGACGAAGCACAGTTCAGGGTGTACTCCGTATATAATATATTTATATAAAATGTACATATGCATACATCGACTGTCGACTACCCCCTCCAAAGGATCGTCGCAATCGAGAATTGCCTTCACCGAAGTCCCATACCTCGTGGATACAGTGGCGCGGAGCAGATCACGGTGATTCAATGCGTTCGAGACGTCGACTTCGACTGAGTCAAATCGCAGTGCTCCATGTATCAGAAACACCAGAACCCTTGCCAGAGTTCGGCGTATCCTTACATTCAGAGCAAGAAAATCGAAAGAAACCAAGTGATTAGGTAAAGACGTGCTTGCAGCCATTCCAGGCGATTTCCAAGGCACATTGAAATATCTCCGAATATAGCCCAGGGTATCAAAGGTCATCGACATCGTGAATCATCACATCCTGGTACTTTTCCTCGTGGAAGGTTCCGTTTATCCCTCTCCACAAGCAGAAATTACAGCTCATCGTCTTCATCTTCACTCGCCGTCTCAATGTCGACCACCTCTGCATCGTGTTCCTTTTTTGGTTCTGTGCCCATCTTGACCTTCGTAATGTCTTGCCTGGTATTGTGGTCGGGCTTAACACTTGAATCTCCCGTCTGGAGATTCTCGTTCTTGACCTCTTCCTTCTTCACACCCTCTTCCGCGCTCTCAGATTTCACGAGCCCACGGAGCACATCTCTCCTATGGCGGTAGAAACGGTCAAGGCACTCTCGTCGTTGCGCCTGGCTCCAGTTCTCCACCACCAACGCAAAAGCCACCACATCGTCTCCGTAGCCAGCCCATCTAGCCATGCTGCAGAACTGTCGTCTCCGAACAGCTTGAGGCGGACGGTATTTGTATCGCACGTTGCTGCCATCGGGCGTGAGAGTCCCTCCGTGTTGCTCTTCATGGTATGGATCGTCATACGCATAGTCATAAACATCCTCGCTCCCATCGCTGTGTTGGGACTGCGACGCGTCGTCCAAGAATACCTTAGCCTGTTGCTCTTGAGTGTCCCAGTGTAGATTGTTGGCTGCGGCTTCTTCGGCTCGTTTGGACAAGAGGGCTTCGACTTTCGATGACCCAATAACTTCACTGTTCTCATGCGTATATGACACTCCCACCGAAGAGAGAATGGCTTGGACCGGATCGTGTTTCTTGACGCCCGTTCTGGCAGGGCCAAAAGGCGTTTTCGAACGGGAGCGAGATGACCGACCTTCATCTCCAATGATCTCAGCTGCGAGTTGGGACATTGCCGCGTCTTCCGACTCCGGGTCGGTTTTGACTGGAGATGCTACACCTTCTTCATCCTTGATTCCACCTTCAGCATCGATGTCGTCGGAGTCGTGCTCTTCAAGCTCTAGATTTGCAACGCGGACATCGGCTTTTGACTCTGCAATATTCGTCTTGTTCACAATGTCGCGCAGGACCTGATGCTCGTTCTGATATGCAAAAAGATTCTTCAACCCAAAGATCTCGCCTTTCTGATCCTTGCTGTCCTGGACACCGTGGAAATAGCGACGCTCAGATGTGGCGTTGTAACCAATATTCGCTTGTTGCTGCTTATAGATCTGGCGGGCGTAGACGATCTCTTCCAAGGTCCCTTGACTGATCAGTCGGAAGACTTCCACGTCCCTCGTCTGACCGATTCTGTAGGCCCTGTCTTGTGCCTGTAGGTCGTAGCTGGGATTCCAGTTCGGGTCTACGATGACGACTTTGTTTGCAGATGTGATATTCAGCCCAACGCCTCCAGCTCGAGTGCTGATCAGGAAAACGAATTGTGTCGGATCAGTGTTGAATTCTTTGACTGCCGCATACCGATCTTCATATTGCATGCTTCCATCAAGGTAGTTGACGTTGAATTTTGTGCTGATGAACAAATTCTGCAGCATCTTGAGCAAGCGGACGCTGTGCGAGAAGATGAGGACTTTGTTGCCTCCTTGTTCATGCCAGAAGGCGAGAAGCTTCTTCAACACTCGCCATTTACCACAATACTCAGGGTTACCAGTGTGCATGATACTGTCCCGGGTCCGGTAAATTTCCTTCCACTTGTCTGGCATTGCAATTTGGAGCATCTCGAGATCCTTTGCTTGTTGGTCTGCCGGGTCCGACCCTTGTGGTATGAGAAGGGCCAAGTGATTTGAGAGATTTCGAAGAACTGCGATTGCTGGAAACACCCAACTTTGCCATGCGCTGCCATCGTCGAGTGTCATCCTGCAGCACCATCCCGCCTTCTTCTTTCTTCCACACATGCATGGATCACCGCTTGTCTTGATGTATTGAACGATATCACTGTCGAGAAAGTTTTGATATGCTCTTGCCTGAGTCCCTGTGAGAGGGCAAAACACCACACGATCTGACTTTTTGGGCAGTTGGTCTTTGATGAGGGCTTTTGTTCGTCGAAGGAAGAATTGAGGCAGAAGGTTCTGGACGAGCATCTTTGCCGTCTTCCTAGCCCTTGCCAATTGATACTGTGAAGCGTCGTGACTCTGGCCCAACTTGAGAGGTATACAAATCGATGTCTTCCAGGTCGAGACTGGTCCAAGCTTGCCCGGGTTAGTCCAGTTGAGAAGGGTCCATAGTTCTTCATACTTGTTCTGAATGGCGGTTCCTGTAAGACCGATACGACAGAGAGCATTGATTTCAGTCATAGCCTTGGTGGTATCTGATCTTCGTTCTTTGATGATATGGCACTCGTCAGCAACAACACAATCCCACTGAATCATGTTGATTTCGCCTTTGTTGGCTCGATATGTGTGGTATGTAGTGATCATGACTTCCAACATACCCGCTTGGGCTTGCAAGAGTACATCATGTCTCTGTGTGGCCCCTCCATGGTAGAGATCAACATGCCACCAGCCCCAACGGCGGAATTCATCTTTCCAATTCTCCATGAGGGTACCTGGGCAGATGATAAGAGTTCGCGGGTACCACTGCTTCGTTCTGCGCATCTTTCTCATCCTCTTCTGATCGCGTTCGTCCCCAGTCTTGCCGTAGGCCACAGTCAAGAATGCAATCACCTGAACGGTCTTGCCCAAACCCATATCGTCACCGAGAATGCCACCTTTCTGGTACACGAAAAGTTCATGCATGAATGCCACGCCCTTAATCTGGTAGTCACGCAAGAATTGTGCAATCGGAGCAGGGATGAGTCCAAGTGAATAGCGCAACTCAATGTCCTTGTATTCCCGAGATGCTGTTGGTATGGGAAAGTCCGGTCGCTCCCTCAACTCCCGTAGCCTCTCATCGTCCGAGAACTCGACATCGTCGTATCTAGGGGGTAGGGCCAAGCCACCTTCCCGCAGCTGCTTTGCACGGTCGTCAAATTTTGCTCTTCGACTTCTGACATAGTCTGGCATGGTCCATTCCATGAGATCCTCATCCGAGTCAGAGTCGCCGTGATTTCTTACCCTCCGACGTTTCCTGACAGGTCCTGTTGCTCTTCCAACTCCAGTTGTGCCTGTGGCCTTCTTGAGCCTCGAACGAGGCGCAAACCCATTGTCGACAGCTTCAACGAGTTTGGCGGTCAACCCGTGGCTTTTCTTGGTCTTTGATGTCTTACTCTTGGCTTTCTCATCTTCACCTTTCTCCCATTCCTGCTCAATCCGCTCAAGTTCCTCGTCGGCGGAATCGTAAAGCGTTCGCTGGGGTTCAGCAGGTTCAGGTTGGGTTCGCTTTTGTGCTGTTCGATGGTTTTGCCCTGTTACGCAGTCTGAGATTTCCACCTCGCTGGCCGTGCTTGGACTGGCATCAAACCTCTCACTTAGACTTGTGTTTACCTTTTCTGCGAGGGTTTCGCCACTGCGTACACCTTCTCGCTTAATACGCGGAGCATCTAAATCGTCGTCTTCGCTGTCAGTGAAGACCATATTGATAGCATCCACGGGTAGGGGAGCACATAAAAGGCCAAGACGTTTCAGGACATCTTTAGACACGATCGATTGAAAGTACTCGGTACATTGATGGATCACCGCAGTCAGTGAGCCAAAGAGAGACGCAGCTACAAGGCAGCAGCACACAGTGGAACTTTGCCCAGCGCGACGAGTGACGCGATGTCACATGACACGCCATGTACCGAGCGCAGGCTCTTGTTACTGTGAATCCCACATTATTGTGGCTCTCCGTCCTCTCCCCATCCTCCTCGTCTCCAACTCTCCATGTTTGACAGCCCTGTAGCCCAGTCTGAGGATCAACTGCAACCCAAGCCCTAAAACGTGAGCAACAGACATTTCGGCAGTTGTATCTTGCTGTCAGGCCTCCGTCGGAAAGTGGCCGTCATTTCCGAAAACCATTCGCCCTGCTGGCTAATTGCTCTGTTCTCTCTCAGCTGTGCCTGTTGTCATGTGTCCTCCATGCCTCAGAGACGACGCTGAAAATGGCTGGGCGGAGTCCAAACAGAGGCACGACCGGAGTCCCATTTCCAAGGATTTCTCCGTTGTACAGTACCTCTGCTTGCTCTGCTTTTCGGCAAATGGTTCAACGTGAGCAAGCCCCATGGGGAAGACTCTTACTCCAATCTGACAACAAACATGCTCCCCACATCAATGTTGGTGGGAAGACTCCGCATAACACTTCATGCCAGGGATAGTGCCTGTCAATCTGTCTAGCCCCACGATGCTGATCGTTGATTGATATTACGGCTTGGAAGCATATCTGAGAGCTCGTTTCCTCATCGTAGGGGAGTACAATTCAGTCGAGTACTCCAGGAGCAAGGGAATCTACCACGACCACAGCACAACATATCTCTGCCGTATACTGTCAGGAGAGCAATGGGTTCTATATCACATATGAAGTTGCGGCGCGCCCCGTTGAAGACCACCGGGGCGATTGACCACCTCGAATATGTCGATGTGACACCCATCATCGGGCGTGAATATCCCACGGCTAAGCTCAAGGATATGCTAAATGCCCCCAATGCGGACGACCAGATTCGAGACCTTGCCATTACTATCTGCGAACGTGGCGTTGTTTTCTTTCGCGCGCCTCAAGATGATTTAACCGTGGAAGAGCAGAAAAAGATCACATACCTCTTGGGCAAGTTGACGGGCAGACCTGAGGACCATGGCTTACATGTTCACCCTCTCTACAATGATCCCAACAACATTCCCATGGCGGACGGAACAACCGATGAGAACATGTGAGTATCCCTCTGAACGAGGGTCGTGGAGTACTGACGAGTAGAAGCTATGTTATCAACTCGGAAGCTATGAAGAAACTATATGCGACGATGAAGAATCGACCAAACAGCTCGAGCGAGCCGAGAGATTTGGGACGAGAATGGCACAGTGACTGTTCGTTCTCAACTGCGACCGGCCCCGGATCATTGAGCTGACCATGACATGTTGAAGGTCTCTTCGAGGAGTGCCCAGCGGATTTCAGTTTCTTACGGATGCAAGATACACCCCCATCTGGTGGAGACACACTTTGGGTGTCTGGTTATGAGCTGTATGGTTTGCCTTCCGACTGCTCCTTGCAACATCATTAACATGAGATGTTTACAGCTATGACCGCCTGTCACCACCTTTTGCTGCTTTCCTCGAGACCCTGACCGCCACCTGTGCTCAGCCTGTATTCAAATCTGCATCCGAAGCAGGCGGTTACGAACTGATGTCCCCCCGCGGCTCGCCCTTGAATTTCGGCGATAAATTCGCCCCCGTGCACCCTGTTATTCGCACCAACCCCGTGACGGGGTGGAAGTCACTTTTCGCCGGCGTCGGGCTACATGTTACACGAATCAACGATGTCTACAACTATGAGGACCAGATGATCCGCGATTATGTCCTGAGGCTCATCACCCGCAATCACGACTGTGTGGCGAGAATGCATTGGACCAAACAGGCTTGTGCGATCTGGAGCAACTCATGCACTTTGCATGCCGCAACGGTATGTTTATCATCACATCACCCTTGACTGCGTGGGACATTTTGGATCTCAGTCCGCGCGGTCCGATGCATCAAGCTTGGCTGCCCCTTTTAAATCTTAGCCTTGCCCAGCCCCCAGAGTGTTTCACCACATGCCCACAGCCCGAGACCCCCCTCACCATGAGAATTTTGCTGACGGGAGCGCACATCTAGCCCGATACTCATTTGGTTGGGGGAAGCAGAGTCGGTGTACGTGCCTCGGGTGTTGGTGAGAGGCCATATCTGGATCCTGCCTCCACAGGAAGAAGAGAAGCGCTCGGGTTGCCGAAGAACTAAAAGGGGCGTGACTGTCTGTCTGGCCATGGTATTCAGACGCTGCCTACCAGGAGATATCGGCGCCGAGGGAAACCTGCCATCCCATCAAGGGCTGACGGCGGCGAGGGCAGGAATTGAGTGGAGAGGATGAATCCATACCCGCATAGCTTATTTCTCGTGTTGCTACATGTTTATTTTTCTCGGCTGGATTGGATGACTCCGATAGATTTTGCGCGAAGACTTCTTGGAACACACGATACTCACCCTTCCACTACCTCCCGTAATATGCACTCGCCATCAAGTCGGGCACGTTCCCCATAGTTGAGACGCTACCAAGCTCTCACGGTTCATGTAATACCCATCTGATCCCCGTTCCACACCTCCAGTTCAGACTTCACTTGACTTGGTTGGTGTCTTTTCGCGGCACTGCGTAATCTTGCGGACCTTGGGTACCCTTCTCCTTTCTCGAGCAAACCGGCACCCGAGGGTCCCTACGAAGCAGTCCATGGCCCGCCTCGCAGAATTCATCCCCGCGACGTTCCACTCCCTCGACCAGCCATATATACCTCGTACCGACATACTAGTAACTCTCTCCGCACGCGCTTCTTCTTCCAATGCTGCTCAAAAAAATCCTCTTCCCAGAGGGCATATCAGGAGTGATTCGCATCAAGATTCCGGCGCGTCCTTGATCGTCCCGTCACTCCTGATGAAGACGTGCTTGTACGCCAGACTGGCCTGCTTGGGGTTCTTCGCCTCGAACAGCTCGTCGAGCTCCTCGAGGCTGCGGCCGCGGGTCTCGACGAAGAAGAGGTAGATGACGACGACGCCGAAGGCGTCCCACACGACGTAGAGGATGTAGAAGCGCCAGCCCGAGTTGGCGATGGCCACGGGCGGCACGTACGTGTTAAGCACGTTGACGCAGTTGACCATGAAGTTGAGATATGCCATGCCTATAAGGGACACACACGCGCGCGTGCGCACACACGCATTAGACTCGGTTTAGTCGAACTCTGTGGGCACTTTGCAGTGGGATGGGGTGTTTGTGAATGAAATGAAAGAGAGAGTCGCGACAGCAGGAAACGCAAAAGGGACGGAAAGAGGAGAAACTTGCCTTTGGCCCTCGCGGTGAATGTTAGGACTTCTGCTGGATAGAGTGACTGCATGGGCGTCTGTGCAGAGCAAAACCCTCGTTAGCAAGAGGAGTCCCCTATTGGCAGAGCTGAAGATGGTGCAGGCAGCCTGCTCGCTTACCCATGCAAATGCAAACACGACCAGAAAGACGTAGAGAAAGGCCACTCCTGTGGCCCCGACGGCGGGTTTGCCTGCCTGGTTCGCCGTGCACGCCGTGATGACCGCCACCGACGCGGACATGCCGGCGCTCGAGACCATTAGGACCTTGCGGCGGCCCAGCTTCTCGACGAAGCGAAGACCGCAGAGCGCCGCGACCATCATGATGGGCGTCTGGAGGGCATTCAGCAACAACTGGATGTGCACGCTGGTGATCCCGGCCGTCTTCGCCATGAGAGGGAAGTAATAGCTCGTCGGGGGCAGATCGAGCTGGCCGAACCATGCAATGCAGGTGACCAAAAAGGTGCGATATCGCGCAGCCCTGGTGTTGAACAGCTCGCGGAAGTCCCAAAACCGCTTGTCCGCGCCGTCGATGCGGATGACCTCCATCATCTCTTCGAGCTCAACCCGCACGACCACGGAGTCTGGGTCGCCATCGCCATGGTATTTGACCAAGACGGCCTTTGCTTCTTCAACTCGGTCGTGAGCTAGGAGCCTGATATTCCCAAAACCAGTCAGTCACCACATTACCTCACCGTCTCCTTTTCACCATGCTTACCATCGAGGCGTCTCCGGAATGAACCGGACAAAACAGAGTATGAGGACGGATGGGAGGCCCTGCACAGCCAGTGGAAGTCGCCATATATATGATGAGTTGGTGTTGATGTAGTACAATCCATACTCGAGCCAGGTGGAGACAATGGTGCCCAAGAAGAAACAAGCCTGAAAGCCACCTGTGAGCTGTCCACGATACTTGGGATACGCCATCTCCACGACGTAGCTCGGTCCGGCAGTCTGCACGAGGACGGCACCCATTCCCAAGATGAACCTTCCACCCTCGAGGGTGGCGAGATTCTGCGCAGCGGCCTGGAGAATAGTCCCAACGATGCACACTGTCGAGCCGATGGCCATGCCTACCCGTCGACCGTATTTGTCTGAGCATGGACCAGCGAAAAAGGAGCCGGCCACATTGCCAATGACATATAGAGCTGCAATTAGACCCTGGTTGTCAGAGTTGATGCCGAAGAAGTCGATGAACGGTGGCATCGCGGATAGACCACCTGGGGTTCGTATTCAGCAGTGAGCGTCAGATCAAGGGCATGGCCTGGCACGTACCAAAAGTGTTTGCGTCAAAGCCATTGGTCGCCGAGCAGAGATATGCTATGAAGATACAAGCATACAATTTCAAGAAGCTCTTTCGCAGCGGTCTCGGCTTCTCCTGCAGAAGAGCCTCTTCCATGCGCGAGGCGTGTATACGCGCCGTACCTTGGATGTCGCCATATTCATGCTCCTGCTGCCGTCCACCAGCGAGATCCTCCGAGTGAGTGATGTCGTATGTCTTGGTGTCCATGTTAGTATAGATTCTCGATTGAGGAGGGTTTCCCAAGTAGAGAGCAGCGTTCACTGAGCGCTGAAGTGTGCTTTATGGTCCCAGTTCTGGCACCACTGATTCCGTGACCGGTGATGGATATAGGCTAAATCAATGAAGCTCATTGAGATCGTCCAGGCGCTGCAGTAAGGCCACGCAGCGTGATGGTCGATGGAAGGATCCGTTGACGAGAGAATCTCCCGACCTCGTCTGCCACTTCGACTTCACAGATTGCGCGCATAATCACCGGCTCATGTATTCCATGTACCGCATGTACCGGCGACTTTCCGATAGGTGCTACTTTGACGGCAAAACAGAGATATAGGCAGAATTTGGACATTTGAAGGGCGGGAATGTCGGCATTAACACGGGAGGACGGTGCCGTGTCATAGCCTCCGGTGCCATTTCGGTCGCAGCTCATGAAAATCCTGGGAGGAAGTGCAGACATTGCTATAAGTGGCAGTGGCCTTGTGAACCGATGGGGTGATTCCCCACGCGGAGTATCGGCTGATGATGGATTTTGCGGGGGATTTTGGTTGAAGATGGAATAGGACATTTCTGGTCCAGCAGGATAGGCCAGAATTGAAATAAACGAGAGTGATGTGTATGGATAACACAATATTCCGACTGCAATGGACTATCCGTGTCGTCCTTCCCATTCTCTCGAGGTTGCAACCCTGCAAACGCGCACCTGAGTATGTTGTCTGCAGGCGCGCTGGACCCAATTCATCGAGGGAACAGAGACGATGAATTCAGGTCCATTGGCACTTTGTTGTCGGACTTAGGTTGTTGTCATCCAACGCTTGCTCTTCTCTCCCAGCTTCTCGACCCGGGACCTCCACTGAGAAATATTCAAGTTTCCTTGTCTCTAGCTACTGGCTACTAGTACTACTAGCACCGTTCAAAAGATCCCTCTTCGTAGCTGAGAGAGAGGCCCTAGGTGGATGGTGAGAAATGCTTTCCTCGGAACGCGGTCAAGCTCAGGCCATCGACAATAGCATGAGTACCAACCTCGAACCGTGTGCAACAGGAGGCCCGTGAGTTGGTGATGCTGAGTCGCGACATTGTTTGATTTTCAATCCTATGGTTTCTGGCCGTACACGACGTATCTCAAACATCAATGTCAGCCTCTGTTCTCCGAGTGGATTGCATACTCACATGGGCCAGTACGAGTGAATGCTCGTGTTGCGCAGATCTTTTCGCACCTGCACAAGGAATATTTGAATTTCCTCCACCGTCATACCAAAAGCCGTGGTCCAGAGTCGAACGGTGAAACCGTCCAGTCCATCAAGCATATTGAGCATGTTCCAAAGACCTATTTCCTTTAGAGCCTTGTTCTTCGCCCAAGGGTTGACTGGCCACCTGAAAATCTCTTGTCTGACGTTAGTAAACCCAGCCTCAACCATCCAGTCCTTGTACTTGGCAGTCCAGGAGGGATCCCTTCTAAGCCTTGCACAGGCTTCTAGATATCTGTTATTCCACTCCCCGTAAGCCGTGCCTTCAAGTGTGCCATCGTCACACAACAGTGGCATGTAGAGATCTTGCATTTCAAGCCACCCGCCAGGCTGCAGGGCATCAAAGGCGCGGCGGAAAAGCCTTGGGAAATCAGAGCAGGAAGTTAAGAGCATTCTTCCATGGATAAAATCAAACTTTCTCTTGAAGGTCCACCGAGCTTCAAAATCGTCAATCTCAACTTGCAATTTGGTGGGACTGCATGCGGTTGGATCGGGCTCAGGTCGATGCCTAGGACGTTGGATTCAGGATGCTGATCGGCAAAACCTATGGCCCAGATGCCAGTTCCTGTCCCTAGATCAAGGACCTCTTGCATCGATCGCTGAACGGGGGCAAGGAAAAGCTTTCGATGAAACGCGACCAGGAATATCTCGTGCTGTAAATCCAGGCGTTCCTGCTCGAGGTCGTCCTGGGGAAGGATGTACGAGCCGTCTTTGTACCTGTGGTATGCCCTACCATTTTCCTGTACACCCTGGAAAATGCTAGACCTCAAAGAGCGGGTGTAAGTCGACAGATCTCCACCAAGAGCAGAATCCACATCGTCGACCTCAATGACAAGATCCGACTGACGCGTTTGGATCTCTGAGATACTACTAGTCATCTCGCACTTCTGGACTGTCAGATCAAGCAAGTGATATCAATGCCACTGAGTGGGGTTCAACGGCATCAGACAAAGGCTGAGAAGGAATAACCTCCCGTCTAATTAATGTTGATGGGGATGTGATGGGAGCGACGTTCAGCGGGTTTAATGGAGCGGTGAGGACGGGCCATCTGTGTGGCTCGCTTAAGCACCCTCTATACCTGTTTCAATTTCAAATCACCACTGAGGCGAACTGTAGAGGGTGCAAGCGATTGGAGTCCTTCTCTGGAACATGTCGGGAGCCACTAAGTAGTAGTCCTATTCTTGTGCCAGCGAGCTTCAGAACTGAGGTTCATGATACTTGTTCAGATAGTTACCATCACGCTAAGGCTTGGCACTCGGCCGACATTCCTTATTTGGTCACCGGATCGGCATAGTCCATTGAAAGTGCGGCTTCGTCGGGCAGTGCCCTCCTGGGCCGCTTCGAGGTACTGCTGCAGCAATCGCTATAGCAGCTCGAAGCTACTACAGACTCATCAATTACCCTGCAAATTTGTCGCGTTCACACTATACAGCCATAACTTGTTGACTCTGGGAGATGTAGCCTCTGAAACGTGCCACTCAAAATGCCTACATAGGCTTAGTTAGCTGCACTGCACCGTCCAGATGTGGGTGAAAGCCCGCCAATACTTCTACTTGGGTATCTAAGGCAGGAGCACGGGCTTTGACAGAACGAGAGTTCATGACTTGAGCAGTTTAATTTCGTCACTGACAAGCAGCTATCCATGCATAATGCAGCCAAATGGTCTTTGGAAAATGACAAAATATAGCGACGCTTTGGTGTTCACCTAGTGCTAACCTCTTCAAAACATCCCAGCCTCTAGGAATGTTCGGCTCCAGTGAGGTAACTTTTCTGTCGTCTGCAAACCTGACTGATGATATTATCAGTCGGGTTAATCAATCATCCTGGACCTTGTACCAGACTGCTGTGCAATGATGTGCAAGATGTCTGGATTGATTGTCCATCTTGCTTCGCTCGCTCGGTTAGACGCCCCCGTTCACGGTTTAGGGGTGCTGCATTTCCATGGAGCTATCGTGGCGCAGTGTCCACATTTGTTGAGATGACAAAGCTGCGGCTCTGAGATTCAGTCGGCGTCAACCCACCACAGTCACAAATGCCATAGTCTGCCAGGATTTAATGTCCAAGCCTCTGCACAACTTCGGATGGTTACATAATGCCAATCTGGGCGAAGGTCTTGGCGTTTATCTTACTAAGCGAGGCTGTACGGATCCCGCCATCCTCCACCAATGGGAGTCGAGTAGCTTTTGCCTATTTCGACTGTTCTACGTTTTGCAGTTTGAGTCGACATCACTGGCGATCGATCTGCTGCACCGCCCACCCCGCTAAACATTACACGATGCGCCCAAATGATGGGAGTTACTGGCCCCTTCATCGAAGCTTTCAAGCTTCGACCGCCTAAAGGACACCGTTACATGCATCATCCCAAATACTTTGCGGTCAAGTCCTGCCTCCGTCCCAAGCCGGTGCCGAACTCTCTTTCTGCCTTTCTGCCTCCCCGACCGCGTCTGTGACTGATATAGTTAACGGTAAAGATATCCTCATGTGGCACCCCCAAGGACGTCAAGAATCCTCTGTGGCGACCTTAGGGGGCGCGGATTGTGGGTCAGGCAGAAGTACCTGCCTGTGTCAAGAAATGTAGGGGATTGATATAAAGCCTTCCTGCGTTGACAGCCAAGGATGTCGACGCCCGGGATTTCACTAAGAGGGAGGGATACACCAGTATCAGAAGATCTAGATATTCTTCTCGGGCTCGTCGGCTTTCTTGCTGCTGTCAAGTAGTACACTGCAGTCGAGCGAGAGATGATGATGGCTCCCAATGCCGCTATTCTTCGGAGGAGTCATGGCAAATCCAAAGACGGATGCAAGACCTGTTTATCCCGGCGGGTGAGATGCGATCAGGCCAGGCCTACGTGGTGAGTATAGTGCTGCTCCAAGAGCCACTGGGAACCAGCAATGCCGAACTAACAGAGACACGAGCCGAAATTGTGCTAGAGGTTCGCGAGTGTGCGTGTACCCGAACTCATCAGGCACGGCGTCAGACTATGCAAGGTCCATCGCCTGGGTAGAATCAATCGAGACCGCATGTCAGACCTGGAGAGAAAACGGAGATACGCCGATCCCGATGCTGAAGATCTTGTCATCTCTCGATTGGCATGGTCTGGATCCACGAGGTCTCCGGTACCTCTACTACATCGCCTCTCTGGGAAACGTTTTGGACCAGAACGACGCCCGGCAATTTGCGCTTTGGTACGATACCTACGAATTGTACGTCCTTCCCCCTTGTCCTAGAGTTGACCAGCAAAGGCCAAGTTTCACTAACACCAGCACAGGGGCATTCAAGCCACAGCAAAGTATGACTTCGTCGCATATGCTCAAATCGTGGCCGCTGCCGACCGTATCGGGAAGCTAACCAGGATGGCAAGTGTTATGGAGGACGCGGTATGGTACAGATCATTGGCTCTCAAAGGCCTGCAGCAGGCACTTGCCAGCTTCTCCCGGGAGAATGCCGACGGAGTATTGGCAGCGTCCATCAGTCTCATGTTCAACCAGCCGACTCCAACCGACTGGCGGAGAGTTATGCAAGGGACAGCAGCGGTCGCCGAGGCTATGCGTCCGTGGGCTGCCTTTTCCGGAACTCGACGTATGTGGGAACACATACACCCTGAAGTACAAGATTCCCAATGCGCCGCCTTGCAAGACGGAAACACTTCTTCTTATCCCTCCGAGCTGTCGACTTCCTCTGCTCCGATGGTCACGGTGCAGTCATCTACCGCGGCCGTCGCATTCCTCCTGGAACAAGGATTGACCGCAATGAATCGACTGGGGACGTGTATTAGACACATGAAAGAGCTTTCCACGACGGTGAGGGGTCTGGCAGACATGCTGCGAATGGCTCAGGCACACCACTTGACCGGCCAAAAGTACGATCCGTTCTGGCTCGCCCACCCGTTCTGCGGAATGACCAACCGCGAGTCCATCTCCTTTTCCGACATCAGTCGCTCGAAACCCTTTGTCCTTGTCTTCCTGGCCCACCTGTACAGTGCCTTGGTCGTGCTGTCGATGCTGTATCCGGAGCTGGACATTGCTGGGTTCGCGACCGTGCGTCTGCACTCACTGGACGCCCTGATCCGACATTTCGAGCCCATCACCACGATCCACTGCGACGCCTGTCGCGAGTCACACAGCTGCAAGGAGCTCCTGGCGTTTCCTGGGAATGTCCTGCAGGCATACCGCAAATGGCAAATAGACCGGCGGATGTCGTCGTCGTCACCCAGGACGCGATATTCTGCAACCGAGAGATTGAAAGAGGACTCTTTCGACTTGTCAGCGAATGCAGAGAAAATTCGCGCCACGAATTACCCCTGCGAGGAGGCCCCAGGTGGCTGCAACCTGCCTGGGGAGAGTGTATCGGGGTCATTCTGCTAAGGTATACATCTTTAACAGACGTGAACAAACATCCACCACCAAATGTAAACCCTGAATCTCACAATCTTCATGATCCAAATGTCGACCATGCAACGAACCAGATGCGGCCGATGAGCTACTACGTGCAAAGGCCGTGGATATTTCCGCAGACACGACCTGTTATGGTCGAATGCTGAGGTCACTGATTCTTCTTCTCGTCCGATTTGAAGTGTCTGTCTTGATGCAGGAATCCGCGGCTTCTCTGGACAGAACCTGGATATAGTGGACTCACTCGGGCCTCGAGCTCAAAATAAGGGAGGATTGCACGGCCTGACTGTCACCGCCGCGGTGTCAGTTTCCTCCCAAGCAGTTGAGTCAAGCGCAGTGTGCTACTGAGAGAGGGAGATACGTGGCCTCGTGAGTATCAAAGCTATCAAGTTGTTCATTGAGAGGTTGCTAGCTATGTGCGTTCGCCATCTTGCGTGTCAGGTTCTGCAAGTTTCCCGTCATGAATGCTGTACAGCCACTAAGATATCCCTTAATCCCATTCGTTACTTGACCGACATCTGCAACTCTCCACTGAGTTGACGTAGACTATCCCTTGACCACCCAACACAAGCTGCCCCAAGGATGACTGCTTTATGCCTTGACAGTTACAACCGCACCGTCACGCTCAACAGCAGTCTCTGATCCGGAAGTCTCAGGCTTGTGCTCGCCCGTTGCTGCCTTCTTATCCACAACGTCCTTCGATTCTTTCACCTCATTGACTGTACTAGCCGTCACACTCATCTTGTTCTCTTGCACCTCCGGGTGAACACTGTTCTTGAGCTTCCGCATAGAGCGTCGGTTGTTCCAGTTACGCCGATTCTTCTTCTTAATAGGGTTGGTCTGAAGCGACTGTGGCTTCTGCTGCTGATCCTCACTGACCGGTGCAGCGTTTCCCTGAGTTGGGCCGAGATCAGTACTGACTTTCGTATTGTTGGAGGTTGAATTTGCATGTGACAAGGTGGAATCTCGCCCTGCTCTAACAACACCTGGAGCAGCATTGGTCAATGGTCTGTTCTTCACTTCACTGAGTGGTTGCTCGGCTTCCTTCTGCGCACGACGGTCCCGCCTAGCTTGAAAGATGGCACTCCGAGCAGAAAGCTGACTGTCACCTCTCATGTAGGCAACGGCGCGAACAATGGTGTCAGTGGCCTAGGTGATTGAAATTAGTCGGTCGGAAATTAGCAGATAACCAAGAGCGCTCACAATGAAAGAGGCGTTCATCAGTTGCACGAGATTCGTGGCAAGCAATGCCATGTCTGCGAAATCACCTCCTGCCTTGGTCGAGTTTCCGTTTTCTTGAAGCACTTTACGAGCATTATTCATCATCTCCCTAATGTTGTCCTCAGTGGCGGCACTGAACACCGCAGGAGTTCGAGTCTGCTTTTTGGCGCTTCCCGCACGGTTGATCGAGGTGCCCGCATCTTCTTTGGGTGCTGCAGCCTGATGTTCTGGAGTCCCGGTATGAGATACAGGAGGTTCTGTGCTGGCCTGGTTGTGGTTGGTGCCACTTGCAGGGGCCACGAGAGGTTCAGCTTTGTCAGTGGCGTGGTCGGCCATGGCCAAAGATTCAATTGGAGCCGGGCAAACTGTTCGTGGAGGAGTGAGTGAGATGGACATGACATAGCGGGGCAAGAGGGCAAGACTGACCTTGAGCTCTTCGTAGTCAAGACACCGTCAAGTAGGTAAGCAGAGAGAGGAGAACAGAGGAGAGAAGGAGTTCCACAGTGTGCGCATGTGAGTTGGGTGGGAGAGAGAGAAGAATGATGGACAAGCAGTAAAGTCTCATTGGAGGTGTCAAAGTGAAGAAGGAACGAACACGCTTCACTTTCGCCCTGTTGGTCCAGGGAAACAGAGGCGAGGGAAAGAACCCTCACATTGATCTGCAGATTAGGCAAGAGATGCGAGTGTGAGAGACACGGGTCTGGCAGACTTGAGGCAAAAGAACGGTAAGTAATAGAGCATGCGCAGCCAGCACCGTCTGTATGTATGTCCTCACATGGCTCACTCTAGCAATCATCAGACATATAGACTTTCCTCTCACCAGCTCTCTTCCCGTCGTCAACCTTCAGCTATATCGTCCGTCCCATATGCAATTTGATGGCCACGACATCTTGCAACTCACCTTAGCGCGGACAGTGTCAGTGTCCCAGAAGAAGCAACTATCTGGTCCTCATCAAGAGATAGACGGTATGATATCGGGAGGCCGAGAGGACAAAAGAGGGTCGATTCTCGGCAAACCTTCTGTTTCAGACCCAAGTATGACAGTGACTGGTTTCTACGTCGCATCTTGTTGGAGAACTTCGTCTATCTGACTCGTGGAAATTCAGAAAGACGCGCCTGAATCATATGTCTTTTGTTCTGCCCGAGCTCACAAGCTAGCTTAACGACTTGAACATCAATCATGGCAAATCTTTTGGCAAAGCCTTTCAAGCTTGCACTCGTGCAGCTTGCTTCAGGTAAGTAAGTGGTGAGTACCCAATCTCGAAAACTCGGGCCCGACGAAATGATTCTGATGTATGCATAGGAGGTGACAAAGCTGCAAATCTGGCACATGCCCGCTCGAAAGTTATCGAGGCAGCAAGGGCTGGCGCCTCCATGATCGTCCTCCCTGAATGCTTCAACTCCCCATACGGCTGTCAATATTTCCCCAAATATGCTGAGACCGTCTTACCCTCGCCTCCCTCAGAAGAGAAGTCACCCTCGTGGCACATGCTGTCCAAAGTTGCAGCGGAAACCAAGACATATTTGATTGGTGGAAGTATACCAGAATTCGTCCCGGAGACGAAGGAATACTTTAACACCTCCCTTGTTTTCTCGCCCACGGGAAAGCTTCTAGCAACGCATCGAAAGATACACTTGTTTGACATCGACATACCTGGGAAGATTAAGTTCAAGGAAAGTGATGTGTTATCCCCAGGAAACAAGGTGACTATTGTCGACATTCCGGAATATGGTAAGATTGGGCTGGCAATATGTTACGATGTTCGCTTTCCCGAACTCGCCATGATAGCTGCAAGAAAGGGTGCGTTCATGTTCGTTTATCCCGGGGCCTTCAATACGACGACAGGTCCCATGCATTGGACACTACAGGCCCGTGCGAGAGCAATGGACAATCAGATCTTCGTCGCAATGTGCAGCCCCGCGAGAGACATGGAGGCAACCTACCATGCCTATGGACATTCCATGATAGTGAATCCCAATGCGGAAGTCTTGGTCGAGGCTCAAGAACACGAAGATATTGTCTATGCTGAGATTGACGGTGCAAAGATCGAGGAGACGAGGAAGGGCATTCCCATCTATACTCAGAGACGGTTTGATGTCTATCCTGATGTCAGTGCTGGAAAGGTGTGATACGACAGATGAAAGATGAATGTGTTGTTGTAAGGCAAGCGTGCAAAAGAAGATGAGAATAAATAGAACAGTAGATTCGACCTTTGCGACGGGTTGAACAGGAACAATTTCTATCCACGTGTGTCTATCTCTCCTGCTTCTGGAACTTTGGAGGCCAACTTCGCGTTTCCCAAAGCCGACATCACGTGGCCGAAATCTTGGCATCACCTTTCCATTTTCGGTTGAACTGCGCACATCCAAATTTCAATCCAAAGGCGTCTTCTTTTCCAACCAGTTCAACATCCCGCCAGCATCTCCAGTCCTCCGCCAATCCAGACTGTATGTATGAAGAAACCACTGCTTGCCCCTATCACCATTCCCTTCCTCTTCTACGCCCTCTTTAGCACCCGAAAAAAATCGCAAAGCTCAAAGGTGTCCTGCAACTAACCAAACGTTCCGTCTTAGAATATCGGCAAAAAATGGCGAAAGACAACCCCAAGACCCAGCCGAAGAAGACGGCGCCCAAGCGATCTGCCATCGGAGACGTCGTCGCGCGCGAGTACACCATCCATTTGCACAAGCGAGTATGTCTACCACTTGTTCCGTGAACCTCTCCGAGTCCGCAAGATGCGCCTTTTCAAAGAGAACAAAAAGAATAGAAGATGAGGATGGGGAAGAGGAGGGATCAGTTTTATGAAGTCCACCCGAACGGCTTGCTCGCTCCTGCCTCCGACCGTCGTCTCATATCGACCTCTTTTTTTTCTCTCACAATACTTTTCTCGAAATTCCCACCTTGCAAGCATTATGGACGGAAGACTGATTATCTCTCTACAAAATAAAGGTTCATGGCGTCAGCTTCAAGAAGCGAGCGCCCCGTGCGATCAAGGAGATTCGAAAATTCGCCACACAAGCTATGGTACGTGTGCTTCCCGAAGCGACATTGAATATTTTCTATCCTTCATTGCGATATAATATCCCCAAAGTGAGGGCAACTTTTAAAGTTCCCTTTTCTCTCTCTTTTTCAATCTCCCTTCAAAGTCCGTTCTGTGTTGTTGGGAAACCACGGTTTGGCTGACAGTTCTTCCGCCTCCAGGGAACCAGCGACGTGCGACTTGACCCCCAGCTGAACAAAAAGGTGTGGGAATCGGGCATCAAGGGCGTCCCTTTCCGCCTCCGCGTCCGGATCTCGCGGAAGAGAAACGACGAAGAGGGTGCCAAGGAGAAGCTGTACTCTTACGTCCAAGCCGTGAACGTCAAGGAGAGGGAAGCCAAGGGCCTGCAGACTGTCGTCGTTGAGGACTCATGAATAACCCCTTAAGGTTCTCCTCGTGTACTACCGGATCACGAAAAGGCTACGCTGCGAGCGACGTCTTGCTGGGCGGTTTTGGGTGGCAGGAGGTTCCCGGTGTCCAGGAAGCCAGCGAGAGAGAGGAGAGTCTGGGTTCCAGACTAAAACTGTAGAAGAACACCCAAGGGGGCAAAGAAGTCAGCCGGACAAGGATGAGAGGAGATTATGACCCACAAAAGAATTCTGCGTGCGTACTACTATTACCATGTGTTACCCGCTACGGCGAGAAGGTGTAGGTGCTGAGATACCAATCATCCCTCGGAGAACAATAAAATTTTTGTCAAGGAAGCAGTTC